GCTAAAGAGAATGGCATTGTTCTTCTTACGTTCCCTCCCCATACAAGCCATAAGTTACAGCCATTAGATAAAACTGTGTTTGGGCCATTCAAGAAGTATTACAGCACTGCTACTGATGAATGGGTGCTGTCACATCCTGGCTGTACGACTTCCATCTATGATGTGGCAGAACTATTTTTTTTATAGTTGGTAAGGCCTATCCACTAACAGCCTTCATTAACAGAAATATTTGCAAATGTTTTGAAGTCAATGGAATTTTTCCATTTAAGTCTAATATTGGACGAAACGAAGTTGAGGACTCATACTCAACTTTAAAAAAATGCATGCTATTTTTTGTTTTTATTACAAATTTAAAAAATCTGATTCTAGTACCACAGACTTATTTTTGTTTGTAGTTCTTAATAAACTATATTCGAATAAATTTCGTTAATCTTTTCGATTTAACTTAAACCAATAAAGTTATTAAACTAACTCCTTAGTTAGTTGTTCATTTACTAGCGAAATCAGCCGTCGTCAGCCGTGAAACTTCAAAAACATGGTTATTGTTTAGTGACTTGGTGATGTGTTTTTAGTAATTTTATTTACTTAATTGTCTTGATTTAAACTTTTTTATTAAAAACATTTTTTTCATGCGTTACATGAAGTTTACATCTCTAAATTTTTTAACTTACTCTATGATTGAAACTGTGATTAAGTTAGCCACTGCTAGGGTTAAGTTCATTGCATTAAAAACATAATGAGACTTCTTACTAACTGTAAACATCTATTCTCAGATATCATTCTTTAAATATTAGGTTTGACTAATCCTAAGACAACCCAGTTGTCAGTTCCAGTTGTACTGGACCATCATTTTTCCAGATCAAGGTACTACTACTAATTAAGGCCTAGGTTAGGTATCCACTCTCAAACATAGGCATAGATTCAGTACAAAGTACAGTAATACTTTTTAAGTTTGAGAACTTGCCATGCGATCCGGTCAAGTCAGTGGAGTAGGGCGGGTTCTGAATCTTAATTCGCCAAAGTTTGCCTTGAGGAATATTAAAGCTAACCTTATCTGTTAAGTTGATTTTAAAAGGGCGCCACCCCATTAATCATACCCTCGAGTTCATGTGATGACAATGGGGAATCCATCCAATTGGGTACGGTATATATTTCACTTTAGTATACACTTTAGTATTAAACTTTAGTATATATTTCACCTGTGCCAGTATTTTTCATTGATAACTATTTTTCGTAGTAACCTTTTTTTTTAGTTTCACATCGTATTAAAGAAGATTTTATAGTAATATGTTTGTAGTTATTATTTACAGAATATTTAATTTATTTTGTAGTGATGACTATAAAGTCAAATTTCATTAATATTAAATGTAACTCTTAAAGTAGAAATACGAATTGGAAAGGAGTCGGCAGGCCGGCAAAGACCTGTTGGCTGTAGCGACGGCGCACAAAGCTACATGCACGTTTATTTCTGCTGGCAGCGATGCATGCGAGTAGTAGGGAAAAGCCGGTTCTGGATCAACCCCGACAGACCAGGGATTCTCGTCTGTTTACTCTTCCACTCATCGAAAAGCCGTTTCTGGACCAGCCCCCAGTAGACTGGAGATTTGCCCATTCTTCAGCTTAGCTGGCTTGTGGTGACAAGTAGTATATATATGTGCGTCCTACTCCCGGAGTTTATATGGGCTCTTATGTGAATACCTCCCCACACCCTGGCTGTTGTTAGTGAAGAGGCTAGTCCTCTTCATACCCTCGGTTGCTTCTTCCAGTATTATAAGAGAACGTGTATCGAAAAAGCACTGCTGCTTCTCATCCCTTTTTTGTGTATGCCCAGACTCTATATAGGACAACACTCGCCCGTGAAAATGGATGATGTGTATTTGGAAGCGTGCCAGTCCATGGACAGCAATACTTCGTTTTCCAACGCCTCTTCAGAAAACGCAGTTTTCACTGCGACCCCAGAAAGCGTGGTTTTCACCGCGACACCTGAAAGCGTGGTTTTCACCACGACCCCAGAAAGCATGGTTATCTCCGTGTCACCTCTGCCTGTTGATTCGGATGACGATGTGAGATCGTTTGAGCTCACCGACGAGGAAGCTGGTTAAGGTGTTTCCCCTATTGTTGGTTCTAGCTTACCCGTTGACACTAAGGTGCAGTGTCCAATCTGCGGTGTACGTGTATCGAAGCCCTACTTAGGAAGACACAAGAAAACCAAGAAATGCTCTAACGCCGCAAGCGCACAAGAGACAAGAGCTGATATGGTGGTTGTTCAAGCTACTCCTCAAGAGAAGAGCTCACGTTACAGTGTGAAGGTAGCTTGTGACCGATGTGGAGATAGTGTGTCTGTTGCAAATCTTAAACGACATCAAAAGTCAAAGAAATGTCTAGCTGCAACACAAGCTGGTGACCCAGCTTTGGTACCTGACGTCGTCACAGAACCCCGACGTCTGTCGAAGATTGAGTGTGATACTTGTGGTAAGCTTGTTACTACTTCGAACTTGGCCCGACATCAGAAATCAAAACGATGTCGTCCACCTGTGGATGTTCGCGAAAGCACTGCCCCAAAAATGAAGACATGTTTGCTATGTGGAGTCTCTATGCTACCGGTTCAATGGAAGCATCATAAACTGTCGGATCGTCATATTAGCATGCTGAGACAAACTCAAAATATGGCAGGTGTGAGCTCCAGAAATGTTGTATCGATTGCTCCACCTATAAACAATCAATATGCTGTACCTTCCACGAGTGGTGAACCCGTGAAACAATATGTGTATCCTCGAGTTGGTTCAACCGATGTAGAGGTTTGTAGGATTTGTATCAAACCTGTAAAAGTGTCAGAATGGTCTCAGCATTCCAAACACCATCTTCGTCCTGAAAAACCTCAAAAGTCTAGTTTGGATATTAGGCGGTTGGTCAAGAGATATCCGAAGGTTAAAAGGAATGTTAATGTTCCACACCCGATTATGAACAATGTTGATCTGAATGCTATGGTGAGAAAACCTACTAGACCGCAGAGACCTGACAAATTCCTTCGTATGACCCCTCAGAGCCCACTCCCATCGACATCAGCTGATGTTCCAAATGTTGTGGAGGAAATTACACATCAAAATCTCATTGATGCATTGGATGACATTCTAAAATACACTGATTTTGTGACAGACGAACAGTTTGCAGAAGCTATTGAGGATTTTGATTTCGGAATGATTGATGAACCACACTCTGTTGTGAAGAAACCCAGGAGACCTTCTCTTAAGCTCATTATTCCTTCTCCTTCAGAGCTGAATATACCAAACAGTCCTGTTTATCAATCTCCACTCCATATTCTTGACAGCCCATCCTATAATCCACTATCACCATTTACCTTTGGGAGCAATCCTCCTGGACTAACCCTTGGGGAAACGTCTGAAAGTTCGATTGATTTGGTTGCTCCCCCACCATCTCCAATTAGCCCACTACCACCAACACCGGAAGTTGGTGTAGAGCATGATACTAATGGTGAAGCTGAACAGATACCAGAAGATAACAACGCAGGTGATGATGACAGTGGGTCATTGGAGGTAAGACAAATTGAGACAGCATTCAAGTCAAGACTCAGAACTTTTGTTATCGACAACAAGACTAATGTCAAGGATCCGACGTTGTTTTTGAACATGTGCACAGATTTGGTTGAAGAAAACATTGAAGAAATGGTCGTGGAAAGCAATATAAAAGTCAACTTTGTCTTTCATGCTGAATTTCAGAGAGTAGCTCAAGACAAGAAAATAAAACAACTGATGAATTTCAAGACTACTAATAAAATTGTGTATCCAACAACAGACATCTCTGAATATTACAATGACGCAAAGGCAAAGATACTTGCAGAGATTGAAGACTTCCAAGCAACTGGCTCTAATTGGACTTTGATGAAGGTCATTGATTTGGAAATCAGAGTAAATAAATACACACCTCTTAAGGGCTCTAGTTACATGAAACTTCCGAAGAAGATAGAATCCAAGAAAGCAGTGATAAACATAAATAATAATGATCAGAAATGTTTCATGTGGTCTATCCTTGCAGCTTTACACCCCGCGAAGGATAATGTTAACAGAGTAAGTATGTATAGAGCTTATGAACATGAACTTGATGATGTTTTCAAAGACATTGAGTTTCCCATGAAATTAGATGACATTACAAAGTTTGAAAAACGTGCCAATATCTCTGTCAATGTTTACACTCTCCACGGAATTGAAAATTCAGTTGTTCCTCTCAGAATCACTAACGAGGAGATGGAAAGACACATAGACCTGCTCTACTTGAAGTCTGCAGACACAAACCATTATTGTTACATAAAGAATCTATCTAGACTTGTACAATCACAGATATCAAAACATGATCATATGTTATGGTTGTGTAAACGTTGTCTGTTACACTTTGGATCAAAAGAAGGTTTGGATAGACATAGAGAGGATTGCAGCAGACATGAAAGTATAAAAATAAATCTTCCAGAAGAAGGGACGGTCATCAAATTTAATGATTTCAACAAGTCAATGCGAGTCCCGTTCGTGGTGTATGCAGACTTTGAATGTCTTCTTGAGTCCAACAGAACCATCAAAACTGAACAAACACAAAGCTACCAAAAACACTTGGCTATGAGTTTTGCATATTACATCGTTTCCAAAGACGGAGACTATAAACCTCCTGTCACATACTTTGGTGCAGATGCTGGAAGGGTCTTTGTGGAACAACTTGAGATGGAGTCTGAAAAAATAAGACATTTGTATTCTAGTGAGGCTATCAAACCTATGGATTTAACGGTAGATGACCAGCGTATTATATCAAACTCAACAACATGCCATATTTGTGAAAAACCTTTAGAAGATGATAGGGTCCTTGATCATGACCATTTGACAGGACAATTCAGAGGAGTTGCACACAACAAATGCAACATTCTGTACAGGAAACCCAAGTTCATTCCTGTCTTCATTCACAACCTCTCGGGCTAGGACACACATTTGTTTATTAAAATGCTGGGTATGAATGATGAGGAAATAGAGGTGATCCCAAACAATGAAGAACGTTACATATCATATACAGTTAAAAGGCAGAACATGATCGAACTGAGGTTCTTGGATTCGTTCAAGTTTATGTCCAGTAGCCTTGATGCACTCACCAAAAACCTTCAGAAAGATCAGTTTACACATACTGCTAAATACTTCAATGAATCCGAGTTGAACCTGGTTTTGAGAAAAGGTATTTACCCATATGATTACATGGACAGTGAGGACAAATATGAGCTAACTCATCTACCTAAGCAGGAAGAATTCTACAACATACTCACTAAAACAGATGTTGACCCTAAAGATTATGAACATGCTAAAAGAGTGTGGGATTCATTTAAAATGAAGGATATGAAAGAGTACACATTGATGTACAACAAATCAGATGTCCTCCTACTAGCTGACGTTATGGAGAACTTCCGTAATGTGTGTATGTCAACGTACAAACTAGATCCTGCATGGTTTTTCACCACACCTGGTCTTGCTTGGAGTGCTATGCTAAAAACAACGAACGTTGAACTGGAACTTATTTCAGATTACGATATGCTACTTATGATTGAGAAGGGAATTAGAGGTGGTGTATCGCAAAGTTCTAATCGCCATGCTAAAGCCAATAACCCCTACATGAATGATTACGATTCGAGCAAACCAACTGAGTATCTGGTATACTTAGATGCAAATAACCTATATGGATGGGCAATGGTTCAACACATGCCGTATGGAGATTTCAAATGGTGTGATACAAACATCGATGTCACCGAAATCCCTGACGATGCCGACACGGGGTATATACTTGAAGTGGATTTGGAATATCCTAAAGATACCCACGATTTGCATTCCGATCTTCCTCTTGCCCCGGAGCAGAGAGTACCACCAGGAGGAAAAGAGGTTAAACTATTGACAACACTTTATGACAAAGAGAAGTATGTTGTTCATTACAGGAATCTCAAGCTGTACCTTAAGCTTGGATTGAAACTGAAGAAGATCCATAGAGTCATTTCCTTTAGGCAATCAAACTGGATAGCTACTTATATTGACCTGAATACAAAACTGAGAACTCAGGCAAAGAACGATTTTGAAAAGGAGTTTTACAAACTGATGAATAATGGTGTGTTTGGGAAGACAATGGAGAACATACGTAACAGAGTGGATGTGCGATTGGCGACAAAGGAAAAACAAATTGTCAAATGGATTGCTCAACCTACATTCAAGGATCGTACAATATTTGCTGAAAATCTCTCTGCTGTGCACATGAAAAGGACAAAACTCCTGTTTAATAAACCTATATATGTTGGTATGAGTGTATTAGATGTTTCAAAGACTCTAATATACGATTTTCACTATAATGTGATTAAATCAAAGTACGGTGACAAAGCACGATTGCAGTATACAGACACTGATTCCTTGAAATATGCCATTGCCACCTCTGATTTTTACCAGGATATGAAAACCATGATAGATTACTTTGATACAAGTGACTACCCTGAGAACAATCCGTATGGGATGCCTAGAGTCAACAAAAAGGTTCTTGGTAAAATGAAAGATGAACTGAGTGGGAGGATTATGCGAGAACAGATTGCTCTAAGATCTAAGATGTATGCTCATGAAGTCGAGGATGGTAGTGTATGCAAAAAGTCAAAAGGAGTCAAAAAGTCAGTCACCGAGAAGGAAATAACATTTGACGACTACAAAAAATGCTTGTTTGAAGGTTTGGAAACCACTAAAACCATAAATATGATTAGAAGTTTCAGTCACGACCTCTACACCATAGCACTTAATAAAGTAGTGTTGTCAAACCAAGATGATAAACGATACATTTTAGATGATGGAATTCATTCCCTCCCCTGGGGTCACTATTCAATAAACCATTAACTTAGAAATTACTCTTTTGTAATTCCTTTTCATAAAACGAACCCAGGATCTCTTCTCCGTTACCATCGATGATTCTGTATGTTACCGGTGCTGTAGACTGAATGTGAGAAATTGTGAAAATCTCTGTTCGCCAGTTTCGAGCGTACTTGTTGGCAAACGTATCTTTCTTTGCTACTATTCTCACTCGATCGCCAATTCTCAGTTTAGGTCGTGGACGTTTCACTGATCGAAATTGATCGAGGTACAAGCTACGAATTTCTGGCTCGACTTTCACAGTCACATCGACCGGTCTCATGCGAATGGTGGAGTGTACACTTGTGTTGTACTTACTCAACAGGCCCTGTAGTATGTCTATCCAACGGAATGACCCCCTAGCTTCAAAATGCACTTTCATTCGTTCATTGAGTGTGCGATTGAACCTTTCAACTATGGAGCTCTTTTCTTCATTCTCCGTATGATACATCTTTATACCATGTTTGGCAAGAAGACATTTAAAATTCTTGTTGACGAATTCTCTACCCTTATCAGTGTGTAATAGGTTAGGTGCTTTGTGACCATTGCCCTTAGCTCTTCGTATGATGACTTCAAACGCGTTTGTCACTTCGACACCGCTCTTCCTGAGTAATGGTTCGGACCATGCATACTTGGAAAATGTATCAATCACATTTAGCATATATTTATATCCATCGTTTTCCCGGAAGAACTTGTCCATTATAACCAAGTCAGCAGCCCACAGGTCGTCTATGTAGAGAGTGACGATTTTACGTTTTGGAAACTTTTTTGTTACTGGTCGATGAAGCTCTTGTGCCTCTTCAAATTTGACATCAGTGATTCCTGATACAGGCGCTTTTGTGAACGTGCTCTTCTCGCGTAAGCATTTAACACATCGGCCTCTTAACCGCCACTTGTTGTTAACCGTCTTAATACGTTCCACATCGGTCGAAGTGGTTTTCCTTTTACACTTGGCACAATAAAATACGTATACCATTTCGAGCTTATAATAAGAGTACTTATAGTGATATAAGCACAACATGAGTGAATTGCACAGGCACACCATTCGTCTTTCTGAAGGGCAGAAACGTAAGCTTCGTATCGCCTATAAGAAACGGAGGAGTGCTATAATTGGACTGACAAGTGACGACATAGGTCGTAGTGGAACGGACCATATCCTGTTAGACAGTGTCCAGCATAAGGCTATTGAGAAAGCTAGACGAAACCAAACAGGCATTCGGCTGAACCTCAGCTACGACCAGCTATTGAAAAATAAACAGGGAGGCCTGCTGAAAGAAGTATTGGAATTTGTGGAGGGTGCCGTTCCTGGTGGAAAACGTTTCATCTCACCTGTTGTCAGAAGACACCTAGCACCGATGCTGAAGGAAAGGTTTATTCCATGGTTGAAGCATTTGATTGACAATGAGTTGGACACGATAATAGACAAGGATCCTAAGGGTGCTGGTTTGAAAAGATGCATCAACAGGAAATTGGATGCTTTACTATTACAAAAAAACGCATAAGCCCCTTAACGCTTGGTGACCTCGAACGATGGGCCAAAGTGTTGGGATTGAAAGGATTTCGAGGTGTTTTCATGCGTGAAGTTTTGCCAGAATCCCCATGGGAAATGGAATGTGGTATTTTGAATCTCGGTGACTTGGACTCGAATGGTACACACTGGACCTGTTATATCAAAATGCATAATGGTAAAAAGCTGTATTTCGATTCATTTGGCAACGCTCCACCACCAATTGAACTTGTGAAGTATTTAGGCGAGCGTGATTTGCTTTATAATGATATGCGAGTACAGGAGTTTGAAGACCCTCCTATTTGCGGTCATCTCTGCCTTGAAGTTCTGAAGCAATGTTCAAACGATGATACAAATTGGAACTCGATCATAAACACTTTAAGAGATGAGAAATACTCGTGGCAATCTTGGTGGAGCAAATTATAAGTGTACCATGCCACTAATAAAACTTAGAGGTACAAGCTCTCGCGTCACTCTCCACTTGGAACACCCAATCCATCTGGAGGAAAACGTGAAGCATCGTATGGCACTTGTTGCGTTTTTTACAGACAACAATATTTACAACGTCCGTGATGAAGCGAATATTTTCTTCTGGGATAGTGACATCCATGCAATACCGAATCCTCTCACTTTCACAAGAGGTTACTGGACGATTGAGTCTATGGAAGTTACTGCAAAGGACTACATAAAATCCTTGAATCTGAACATTGATCCTACTAAATTTAGACTGAGTAAAAATGGTGATTTTCTTTCTGTGTACTCACCATTGAAGTTCTATATGGATCAAGCATGCTGCAAGTTGTTTGGTTTTGATCCTCCAACAAAAGAAAAACAGAAGAGAGCCGACAGTAGCTCATACTATGTTGAGAATCAAACAGTGACAGGAAAAAGACCTCCAAAGTTGAGGGCAGTAGATACTATTGAGATACACTGCAATATAGCGCATAACAGTCTCGTCAACCATGACACACATGATCACAAACATGCGGAAACTGAACTGCTATACACGTTCTTCCCTCAAGTTCCACATGGGTATAAGATATCTGAACAACCGAAGGAAAGGTTATATGTTGATTTGAAACCAGGGTTGAGGACAATTCACTGCATAACAATCAACATACTTGATCAAAATAACAACCCGATACTCAATAGTAATGATGAAAACCTGGTGTACTTGGACTTGGTATCATTATAAGAGCATCATGATGTCTATATTTAAATTCGATCGGTTCGGAGAAGAACTGGCTGACAGCAGTGCTAACCAAAATAGCATTTCAACGGATAAGTTAAATGAAAAACTTTCATCGTTGGAATTCACTTGCAGTCACGATACAGATTCAAAGATCAGTAACATGAAAAGAGAATTTATTTCTCAGGTAGATAACATGTTTGATAAGTTAAAAAAGGATCTGACCTCCATTATAAACAAACAAGTCGGGTTCGAGAAACATTATATTAGTGCCAAGAACAAAAGGATAGTAAAAGTTGCAAAAGCTATAGATAAGACTGATGTGGTTGTTAAAGAACAGCTTGAAGAAGTAAATGATAAAGTTGATGGTATTTTAAAAGGTCTCGAAGTCACAAAAGACTGTATTCAGATCAAAGGAGGTAGAAAGATCTGTGGCATCAGTCGCAGCAACAGTGCATATGACGCCATTAACGGAATTGAACTTCTAGAGCTGTCTAAACGTCTACACCGAGTAGAAACTTTGATTGGTAGGTCTAGAGCAACAACAGTCGATGTTTAAATAAACAGAGCGAGACATTAGGCTGTCAAGGAGTTTCCTATGAAACCAACCAAGTGGTATTATAAGTAAAGGCAATGGAAATAAACGTCTACTATAGAGATGGTGAAAGGGTGGAAGGTGGTGTCTTCCCAAAACCACTTCGTTGCTTGATCGTTGGTCCATCAGGGTGTGGGAAAACGAATTTACTGCTTAATCTCATATACAACAAAGATGGTATCACTTTTAAACATCTCTACGTGTTCAGTCGATCAATAGAACAACCAGCGTACCATGATCTACAAAAACACTATGAAAGAGTGCAGAAAAACCTCGGCTGCAAAATTGCGTTCTTCTTCTCTGATTGTTCCGACTTGGTTCCATTGGATGAATGCAAACCAAATTCACTGGTTGTGTTTGATGACTGTTTACTTGATGAGCAATCAAAAATCAAAGACTATTACATCAGAGGTCGTCACAAAAATATATCATGTATATACCTGAGTCAGAGCTATGGTCGTGTCGATATGCAAGTAATCCGTAACAACCTAAATCTGCTGTGTGTGTTTACACAAAACAAGCATTACATGACACGTATTCATGAGGATTTTGTCGGTTCCGATATGTCGTTATCTGAGTTTGAAAAGCTCTGTCGTCGGTGTTGGCAGGAACAACATGGATTTGTAACCATCAATACCACTAAAAAAGCACACTCTGGAAAATATAAATGCATGCTGAAGAAAACGATATTTACAACGTCAATGTGAAATGTCACATCTTAAGCTAGAAATGATATATAACGTTTTTTGATTGAAATGTCGTTTTTATACTAGAAACGTTATATCACGTTTTTTGAATGAAATATCGTTTTTTGATGGATATGTCGTTTTTATACTAGAAACGTTATATCACGTTTTTTGATTGAAATGTCGTTTTTCGATCGATATGTCGTTTTTAGACTAGAAACGTTATATCACGTTTTTTGATTGAAATGTCGTTTTTCGACGATATGCCAATTTTATACTAGAAACGATATATGTCGTTTTTTCTGACGTTGTATAATATAAGTGAACACAGGTTATGATGGATGCAAAAGCTGCTAAGCGACTTGAAGCTATCGAGAGTAACCTGATGAAAAAGTTTCATGACGCTGAATTGGAAGAGCAAAAACAACGTGAACAAAAACTTAAAGAGATATCAGTTGTATCGTCTCCAACAAAAAGTCCATCCACCACAATCATTACAAGAGATGTCCAAAAACAACCGTTGACTGTCACCAAGGCAAAGCAACTAGAAAATGTAAAAAATAGACTTCAACAACAATTTGCTAACGTACACATTTTAGAAAGAGAGGAACAACGAGAAAGGGAAAAGAAATATCAAACCATTACCGATGCAATAAAAGAGAAAAAAGAAAAAGATGATCTATTAGAACAAAAGACAAAGGAGTGGTTGAAAAAGCAAAAATGCAATCAAATGGTTGCTCGCTTTAGACCAAGAGTATACAGTACACCAGATCGTAAACAAATTCCCTTCGATAACGAAGATGAAGTGGAAACTGAAAACGTTCAGAACAAATCAATCAGACAGTTGGTGGACTCAAATGTAATCAATTTGGGCAGTGTTGGTGTGAGATACTTACCTCGTGCAAGTGATTCACAGTTTGGTATTTATTATGATGTGACGAGTGAACGTTTGAAAATTGGATCAGAACCAATCACCTTTAATTACGATGATATAGTGATGTCAGGTAAAAG